CTGCACGCCAACTGCAGCGCCAATCTACCCTGCAGCAGATTGGCGTCGCTTTGGGCGAAGGCATTCTGCGCTTCGACGTGCAGATTTGCGTGCGCCATGGGGGTTGGCGTGCACTTATCAACCCCCTCTTCATCCATTCAACATGTCAAACGAGGATCCCTCAAAATCAAGCGCCGAACATCCTCCGAATGATAAGACAGCGGCGGGAGGCAATACAACCCCTCCGATGTCGATGGCAGACTACCTCAAAGGAGTCATTCAGCTCCAGCACCGCAGCATCGATCAAGCTAACATGGATCGAGCGGCGGCAGAAGCAAACCGACGACTGGACGCCGAGAGGATAGAGCGACTAGAGGATGCGCTCATGCTCATGTCGGTCAAAATAGAACCAGAGCATGCGACCCCGCCTCCGACAAACACTAGAGTCGATCTGCAGCGGTTCAGATCGTCCGATGGACCCAGCTTCGTCGGGCCCTTCCAGAAGGTCGAACCCTTCCTTTCGTGGCTCCGAGGCGTTCAGATCTTTTTCGCCACAAAAGGGGTCACCCACGACGATGACAAGATCCGCATCGTCGGCACTTTGATTAGCGAAACAAACACCCAGGCGTTCTATGCGGCCGGTGTTGAGAAGTTCATCGGACAAGGCTGGACAGGTTTCAAAGAGAAACTGATCGCCTTTGCCCTCCCACCGATGTGGCGCACCAACCTCCGAGCAGAATTCAAGGGCCTCCGCATGTCCAATGCCGAGGAATTTCGCGGCTACAGTACTCGCTCTCGCACTCTGCAGAGCATGTTGAATTTTGATAAAGAAACAATCTCCGACTTTGACCTAGCGGAGTCGATGACACTAGGAATGAAGGACGACTTACAAGCGGAGGTACATGCCCACCAACTTCTTTTAGCCTCTCCATTCGATTTCAGCATCTTCGACAGTCGAGCCAGTGGATTTTGGGATTGGATTGCCAAACGATCAACGGCAAGACCTAAACCAAGTCATCAACAAGCTCCACAAAATCAAGATCGACCCTCAGAACGGTTGTCGAGAGAGGAAAACCTATGGCGAGTTCATGCATTCCTTGATTCAACAGGGCGCTGTCACTACTGTAAGAAGAACTGCGGCAGTGCCGCTGGAGCTTGTCCGGGTCCCATCGATCGCAGCCGCATCCCGATACCCGCATCATTCACAGCTCCTGCCAAACCGGCCAACTACACACCTCCGACAGCCAAGCTTGCTCCCAACCATACGGCAGGAAGACCAACACAACCCCCGGCAGGAAGACCAGCGGGACGAGCAGCCACAGTGGCCGCAATCTCAGAGGAAGGCATTTGCCCCCCCTTGGATCAAGCATCCATATCAGCAATAACAGACATGGAAGAAGAGCTCCGTCTGGCTAGAGAGGAAACGTACGTATCCAAGACAAGACCACGGCGACTAATCGTCAATTTTACTATGGACGGGGTAAACTTACGAGGTTTGATTGACACAGGCTCGGAACTGAATCTAATCACGGACGAGGCAGCTAAATTGACAGGCGCAAGGATTCAAGAGTTGTCAACACCAACGGCGGTCAGTTTAGCCTTAGATGACTCAACCTCAGTCCCCATCATACTCAAGCACTTTGTGGTAGTGTCTCTATCCGATCCCAATTCCGCGCTCACCTTCAAGGACGTCAATCTCAAGGTGGGTCAGATCAAAGGGGACTACGAGATGATTTTAGGAATACCGTTTCTCTCTCAATTTTGTTTATCCGTCTCAATCTCCGATAATGCTCTGCAATGTGGACGCTCTGGTTGTACTATAGTTGATTACCGCCATCCTACTGCAATACATCAACAGACTTCACCACCTCCTCCCACAACCACCAGCATGGATGCATTGACTTATCCCTGTGAGACTTCTGAAAAGAAGATTCTCCAAGAGTTTGAAGACTTGTTCCCTGCAGACATTCCGGCTGTATCTGATACCACCGCCCTAGACGACCATCCAACAGACAACACATTCCCAAAGAAACTACAACTAGAAAGCTCTAAAGTCCGACACAAAATTGTTTTGACTAACCCGGATGCAGTGGTGAATGAGAAATCTTACCCCTACCCCCGCAAACATCTTGTTGCATGGCGTACGCTCCTGGATCAACACTTGGAGGCAGGAAGGATCAGGCGATCATCTAGCCAATATGCGGGGGAGTGATAATCACACTCCACCCCCCTTCGCACACACACTCCAACACTCCCTTCTCTGAAGGGAGTGTGGGACCGCACTCCAATTGAAATTGGAGTGCGGGTCCGCACTCCAACCCTCTGCGCGGGCATTCCCCCAGCAGGTTGGCGTGCAGGTCCGCACGCCAATTTCGATTGGTGTGCGATGCTGCACGCCAGGCTAGCTTAACCAAAGCCCCTCAATTCGTCGGGCCAGATGGCGGGCGCAAGCGCCCCTCGCGAAGCGAGCCTCCGAAGGAGGGGCTTGCCAGTGAAGTCCATGTATTGGCCCGAGGCGTCACAGCTTTTTGGTGGGAGATGTTTGCCTTCTTGATCCCCGGGGTTTCCTGTGACAAATATTGATCCCCTGTTGGATCATTTTAACCGCGCTCTTCTAGCGCTTGTGACATCCAAAAACCAACAGCCCGTGGTCCCAAATTGCAATGCATTAGGTGTTTGAAATTTAAATTTTGGGAAGCTTGGACTTCTCGAAGACCGCTGGCTTGTTGCATAGCCCATAAATACAGTCAGATTAGTTTCTGTATGCGCATAGCCCATAAATACACTCAGATATGCTTCTGTATGATCACATAGTGCATAATGTCCCTGCAAGCATACTACAGCACAATGCAACACATACTACGGCATATGATGCCTTATCGTCCTGATAGGTATCACCTCGCAGCACTGGTTTGACGCTAAAGGGTCAATGTTTGAGGCTAGCAGGGTTGACGCAAGATGTTACGGCGTAAGGCATCTTTGACCCATCTGCTCAGCCCGGCTGAAGGGATGTTTGAGACTAGCAAGCCGGTCCCACCCGTACGGTTCCAGCTGTTCATGGGCTTGTGATCCTCCTCTGGACTCCGATGACTTTGGCGACATCAGGGAATATTAGAATGCCTTCCTTGTCTTTGTAAGGCATGATTGAGTCTAGCCGTCCGGTCGGCCCGGCTGAAGGGATGTTGCTGAAGGGATGTTTGAGACTAGCCAGCCGGTCCAACCCGTACGGTTCCAGCTGTTCATGGGCTTCTTGTCTCCTCTGGACTCCGATGACTTTGGCGAGATGCAGATGGACGCCCCTCCGGGTCATATAAAGGGATGGGGTGATGACCACATGGCTGTCTCCTCAGAGTCTTACCTCACTGATCCGACCTTCCCTAGACAGTAACTCATCAACTGTATCGAGTGCTTCATTATGAACCCCACAAGTGACGAAAAGATCTTGTCTATCTGTCAACAATTGCGATCCCCCCCCATGTGATGACACCTAAGCAGTTCATGGTCCGCTACATAGAATCGGACAACTCCAACATAGCATACTTGCGGCGCTTCTGGGCTCAGGCAACGGGGGTTGAATCCACCATGGACCTCGTTATAGCTTTGCGCAATGAGGTCAACCGGACCAACGTTGGGCGCCAGGCCTGGTCTCAATTTATCCTGCAGGAGGTGTGTGTTCTATCCAGACTGGAATACGATTCATCTCGTTGATTGTTTGGCTTTTTTTTGTCAGGCAATCCTCATTGCTTCCACCCAGGTTCCACCGAGGGGTAACTACCCAGCCGGTCGCTTTCATAGCTCTGCGACGATCTCAAAGTCGTTCTTTACCCCCCATGAGATGGAAGTGCATGATCAGAACCTCACCGAGCGCGACATGCCTTTTGTCTACAATCTCATACTGGCATCCTTGAATCGGGCTGGGGTGGATGATCCGGTTCAACCGGATGAAGTCACTTCCCCGGGTCGTGATGGCGCAGGGGATAACGATACACCTGAAGGACTCAATGGGATTTCTTATGCCCAGGAGTCAGATGGGCTTAAGAGGGCCCAACGCCGAGCACGCCGTGTGAGTCCTTTGACTATCCTAATTCCCTATTGATCATGGCGAGCGAGCATCTTCCTAATTGTGCGGGTCTCCATAATAGTTGGCCACCACCATTTGTGCCATGATGGCATATTCCCTGAACAGGCGGAATAATGCCTTCCAGCTGAACAACGCGGTCAGGTTCTATGCCTGTGGGGTTTCGGACCGAGTCCACAAATACTTGAATTATCTAGGACTCACTTCATCGAGGTCCACCGCATTGTCGGCCCTGAAGACGTTAGCTCAAGAGGGCGAGAGGGAAATAAGGAAGGCCATGCGAATTGCTGGTGGGATGCCGATCAGTCCGACGATTTGCATCGATAACATTGATATTGAGCAACACGTCCATCAGCTAACAGTAGGTAACCGATCCCACATTTTCAGAGGGACCTGGGGTTACATCCATCTACCTGATAAACAACTGGTTTCAGAACTGGACCCTACTGAGCTGAGTCTAGATACTTTCCTCAAAGCAATGCGTATGGTTGAACGCTTAGAGATCCAACCTCATATGTTCCTTCCCTCACCATCCGAGCAAAGACATGAGATCAATGTCATCAAGAGTCAGATTGCGAAGGTCTTGTATGATTACCTTGCTATTCCCACTGGCAAATCGCAATCCATCTCAACCGAGCCGCCGCCTTTGGATCCCATCAGCCCAAAGAAGCCAGACCTTCTTATGATGAAGCTTATGGATGCGTCAGATAACTCCGCCGAGGGTATCGGGCAGGTCTTCCAATCGATCATAGGCCAAACGGGCATGTCCGCAAAGGACTTCTTTGCGCGCCTCCAGCCCATGGATGGGGACTTGGGCACAGTTCAGAACTTCAACTGTTTGAGAGCTCAACGATTCCCCAGCTCAGTGCCCCAAAACCGCCTAGACAACATCTTTTTCCAGCTTGGAGCCTCACACACGTTGTGGAATATAGGGTCTAACATATTCACTCATCACTTTGGGAACCCCAAAGACACTGATAATTGTGGTGCCTGGCAACATTTGGAGGCTTTGGGGTTCCCTTCGGAGAAGGCTATCCAAAAAAAAGACTTCTCATTAATGATCAATCAGATGGAACGTGTTTATGAGGCGATAGTTTATTACTGCTTACGGTAAGTAGACCATCTCACCTAACTAACGCCCATGTTCATTACACACACTTTCAGCGAGCTGACCTGCCACCGGATCACGTCTTGCTAGAGTTGTCATGAAGATCCAAGATCGCAAAGTAGGGTGCGATAAACTGAAAATACCCACTGGTCAATGGGAGAGTATAGTGAATGAGTGTTATGAACGCTTTTTGTCACCACAAGCGCGCTCGGCGGCCGCTGCCAAAGGCCCCTCGCATCACAAATTGAGCAACACTTTGGTTCAACTACACGATTTCTCCACTGTAGTCAAAGCAAAACGTGCTATGAAGGCCGGCGACATTGGCCGATTGCTACTTGTTTGGAAGAAATGGTCGCTTATGTCTCAGGCGCTCAAGGGGTTGACAAATTATTCATCGTACCTTCCCAGGATGGTCTTACTGTTAACCGTGGTACTACCTCCTGGGTTGAGTAAGTACCTAAAGCACAACCTGCTAATATCTCCAAGCGGCCGACCGGGGCACTTTGTTGCCAAGGATTACTGGCTGGAAATCCAGAACTATTGGATCAAGTTCCTGTACAACAATAATGGTACTGCAACCCAGATCGATCGCCTCCGCAATGTATTCTCTCTTAACATCTTCCTGGTAAGTTAATCAGGCCTGATGACCAAATAGCAACACATAAGGCTGATATAAATTCCTCTATAGCTTCAGGGTATGTTCCAATCGCTCAAGAACAATTGTGGTGCCAAAGTCATACACCGGTCTCACGAGAACTCATTACCTTCTCGCTCCCTTGAAATGTTCACCATGCTTGGGAACAACCGTGACATCTTGACACTCATCTCAGGCAACAAGATCGGAGAAGTCGAGAAAGTAGATGATACTTATAAGTCAGGGATTCAAAAACTCAAAAAGATGATATGTATAGATAAGGACCTCAAACGATTCAAGAAGCATATTTATTATCATTTTGAACAGCCGGCCGACTCAGAGTCCACAAATGTGACCATTGGAGACCTTCCAGATGCGTCCGACGCAGGTGATTCCCAATCTGAAGACATGTAGAAATAGCATGAGCAATCGGTCAAGAGATCAGAATCCAACTGTTCTGTTCATTTGTTTCTTACATACCATTTCGTATACCATGACTAGCTTTTGTATCTGACATTATCCTAGAAATTTGCTGTCGTCTGCGAATAAGATCTGCTGCCTTCTTTTCCTTTGCTTCCATCCGTTCGAGAGATCGTATGCGAGACGCCTCGGCCGCAAGTGCCTTCTTTGTTGGTGGCCTTGGAGGCCGCCCAACTCCCAGCGCTTCCTGACTGATTGATTTAGGCACTCCCAGCGCCTCCTGAGTCATCGAGTTAGTCATAGCCGGCGGCCCCTTACGCTTATTAGGAGGGCAAGCAGCAGGCATCGCATGCTGAGGCGAGGATTTGAATTGAATAAGCCACTGGAAGATCCATTCTGATTGACCCTCAAAGCAGTCTCCACCTATAACCGTCCAAAGGTCCTTGGGGTTCACAATGTGATCCAAGGAAGCCAGAATGGCTACACAGTCGTCTTGACAAAATAAATCTTCTAACACTAAAATACCATCGGGGGCGACTTCCGAGTTGTAATGCTGAAGTAGATCCGTCAGGAGATGGGCCGAGAACTCCGAGGTCTCCAAAGTATCCTCTTCAGTAAACTTCCTCTTCTTCATGGGGGCTGCCTTTTGAGGAAATTTTTTCTTGATATTGTAGGGATGCGGAGGAGAATAGTCGCCATCCAAAATCTGATCAAAGTTCGACTGGTTTGCGAAAATCAAGTCCTCCATAAGTTTTTTGCTGGCCTGCGGTGAACAATTGGAACATCGGCAAGCCGCAAGCCCCTCCTTCTTCTCTCTCGCGATCTCTTTGAGGTACTCTGGATCGTCTGCCCAGAGTGGGACATAGCCAAGTCTGGTAATCACAGAAATGTCAGTGAGAAATGTAAATTTCGCCTCTGATGCACACATAGAACTGACTTGTTATCCAACGAAAATGCCACCCGGAGGCAGACTGGTGTTATAGCCATTGCATCCATTCGATCCAGGTCGTTCTGAGCAGCCCCGCGGGTGAATTGATCCAATCGATTTTTCCCTCCGCGCCGACTCTTCTCCACAAACATCACCGCCAACCCCGGCTTTCCATCACGTCCACAACGCCCGATCATCTGACAGATGGAAGCCGGATCGCCGCGGCCCATGTGGGCCACTATGCATACTCGTTTCCAGTTCTGGCCAAGCCCAAGCGCCATTGTACACGATATCACCGGATACTTCCCTTCAGCGAAATCATCAACCGTCGTGATTTTATCTTCTTCGCCAGTACAAGAGTGGAACCGCCTAGCACAAGAGCTATTTGGCAGCATAGTGCTTCCAGGGGTCTCCCGAGCACGTGATATTACATCCAACACAGTCATCGTTTGGTTACGGGATCCGCTATAGACTAGACATGGAACCATCTCCGAGTCCGAGACATCGATGGAGGAAGGGAACAATTTGATTACGTCAAGTCCGGATGCCAGAGAGTTCTCCATAGGCACACGGACCATCCGAATCTCCGGCCGAGTCAACTCGCCGCGTAGTATGTCCACACTTTGGTCGTTGAGTTTGAGACTATTCATGATAGCATCAACGGCAACAGGTCGACAGGTAGCTGACAGTAACAAGATTGGCTGGTTGTTTCGAAAAAGCAGTTGTGCCCCCAGTTTACCGTACGATGGACGGAAGATGCCGGAGTCTTCATGGCGAAAGTGGGCCGACATTAAATGCTTGGCTGTTGAGCTCTCCACAAGGCCCCATATGTAAATCATATGAGCCTCGTCAACCACCACCAAGGCCAGGCGGTTCTGGAACTCCGAACTGAAGTAAATTGATTTGAATAGCTTGCTGTTCAGAAAGATCTCAGGGCTCAAGTATACAAATTGGTATACACCCTTCTGAATCTCGGCCGCGGTAACCGGGTTGAAAGTCAGCTTTGTCAAGTTGATTGCCGAGAATCCAGCCTGCTGCTTCTCAAGAACCTGATTGTCGCCAAGGGAATCCAAAGGGTTCAAGACCAGGACAACGGCTTGGGTCTTCCCAGGTATCATTTTGTAGTAAAGTTCGGGTATTCGAGACTTGCCGTAGCCCGTCCCCGCCAGTAGAAATGTGTTACGACCTTCGACCAGGTTCAGGACTGCTTCAACTTGCAACTGTTTAGCAAACTGGCCATAGAAGTCGATAGAAGTTTTCGCAATGTGCTCCCTGAGTTTGTCCGAATTCATTTTAGATACATTCTTGTAGATATTGACACCGGTGGCTGATCGAACTCTTTTGGGAAGCGTGATAGATCGGCGAGGGGCAACTGCCATCCTGATGGTGAATGACGGCGAATTAGTAATGAAGGTCAGGTGGGTGCTTTGGTTGGCCAGAGCGTCGCCTCCCTGCAATAACCTCACCTTTGAATGTATCATCACATATAACCCGTATAACACATGTATCTCCCATGTTATAGCATCTGATGTGTCTACCTGTATTGAGTGAACGGGCTGTTCAATCATCCTGTCATTACTCTGGTACAGGAATAATACAGCATAGCTCGCATGATTATCAACATAGGCAACACCTTGATCAAAAACCAGTGCCAACTCTCAACTCTTGGGGAGAGCGGTGGGTTCTCACAGTAGATAAATAAAAAAAAGGCCAGGCAAAAGGGGACATGCCTGCCTCATGGGGCCAATTGGTATTACATCCAGGAGACATCAGGTGCCTGCGCAACAAGACATTCCGTGAAAAAAAACACTGAAATGCACGAAAAACTTGAATCACTCGACTGACAAAAGCCACTTCAGTTGCAAGCCCCTCTTTCAGAGGCTCGCTTCGCGAGGTGCCCCCGGCACGCCGGGGTCCCCCCGTCCCTCTGGAACGAGGGGATTGTGCTAAGCTAGCACGTCAGGTTGCCTCGCTTGCAGGCAGGCGTGCAGCCAGCGATTCCATATGCCTTGACCTAAACCCATATTCATATGGGTTTAGGTCGAGGCATATCCCATAGGACCCAGGGATGGGTCCTATGGAGAGACAGTCTGACCGGTTCAAACCTTGAACCGACATGGGTTCAAGGTTTGAACTCTGACGGCCATCGGCCAAGGTTCAAACCTTGGGCGATGGTCTTGAAGATCCCTGTAGGACCCAGGCCTGGGTCCTACAGGGATTCGCTTTGTGTGAACTCTGACGGCCCATGGTCCAGCTCATG